AACCTAGCCACTCAGAGTCAATGACTGACACAGATTAGAAGGCTTCGATCACTGGTGCTTAAGGACCATTCTGGGAGTACTATAGATGAATTAGCTCTTAAGTGAAGCGATTAAAAATTAGTATTTTAATCCTGTATAGCGGCGGACGCTAATATCACGGCAGCGACTATAATATTTTGGTCACATTCTTCATAAGTCTGTTAGCGATCTGACGAAACCTGTCTGGGCACCACCTCCCCGCCCGAACTGGCGTCGTCCACACGCTGGGCCCCTGAAAACCTGGCTTAACACGGTACGAAAGGATACTGAAAACCTTGGTCTGCGCTCCGTCTACGGTATTTGACAATGGAATTCAAGCTGGATCACAATCTGCACTGATCTTGCAGCAGATCACCGAGCGTGGGCAGCGGCAGTTCGGTATATCGATTAAGTCGGTTTGTTCTCTCCCAGGAGTCAGCCACCGTGAAGAAAATAAAATAAATAATGGAATGGGAGACATTTATGAAGATTAATATAGCAAATGTGAGATAGGTGAATTGACACATGCATATGTCATCCCTGTACAAAACAATGTACTGTGCTGCCAAGTGTCTTTAGTCAAAAATTAGGTCAGGCTAAATAGCCAAAACCGACAAGAGTATTGTTATCTATATTATTGAATCCGGTGATTAGGATGTTGTTCCTCCTTGTGAGGTTTTGGAACAAAAACCGTGTAGCCGAATAGTGCACCTTTAGGCAGGTTATCACAAGACCAATTCAAATAAATTCACACCGTGTGCAATCACGTTATGGTCTCTCCTTCCTGCTGTCTCTTCTATTTGGTTTTTTTCGTATGAGAGCAGCATCAGTACCCTCATCAACGCAGAAAACTCATGAACTATTCGGACGATGTCGATATTACTGGAGTACTGACGATCCGTTTTGGTTCAATACCCACCAGTAATAGCAACATATCCCAATCAAAAAGCAAGGTTGTTTGTACCTATGAAACATACACAAGCATCCGTTGGACACCATAGAAAATGCAATCGCTGTAAGTGGTACAGAGTCTGAATCAAGGTAAGGTGCAACGAAATAGAAGAACTATATCTGTTAACTTCGCTAAATAAATTTTGCATTTGGGCGGGTTATCTAGACAGACATATTCTCCCCCAAATTCACAGTAGGTTTCGAAGTGCCTCATTTTAGTTATTTTCGAAAATACCGTGACAACGCGTTTCAGTTAGAAACCGGGTGGATCGAAAAGTTGAACGATGAAAAAGTGCTCAGTAACCGTTCATTTTCGACTGACAGAGTGAAAGCAGATCTCGTTTTTGATTTGATTGCAAGATATGAATTATATTGCTAGGTTTTCGGATTACGATTCCAACTGGAATAACGAGCGGTTTTGATGTACTCTTGTTTCCTGCAGAGTCAACCGCAAAGTCAGTATTTATGAAGTGCAAACGTTGGGTGGTAGTGGTTGTGGTGGTTGGGCGTTTCGCACACCCTAACACTGGCTCGGCTTGATGGTGACCTTCATTCAATCATGAATCACTCATTCGTTCACATTGTGCTGTATCAATTTTCATTGTATTATTATGTTATCTATGAGGATGTAAACCTACTACGCGACCGCGCATTACAGTGAAAACGAAGTGAACAGTTTCACACTTGCACGCCACCCGAAGATTGCCTCAACTTTGTTCATGAGAAAACAGGTCAAATGAGCGATCGATAAGTTGCTAAAACATTTATTCTGTCAAGGATACCTGGGTGAATTGGAAAAGTTTGCCGGCAAAGGGTGTGCATGTGTGCGATCTTCAAGAGTCGCCTTAAGGAGCTACTCGTCAGTACTACCAGTGTTATAATTTTGCAAGACGGTACCGGAGCGCGAAGAATTGTTTATTAGGAACATCGACGAGAGTATTGGTAAATTGGAGTGCATAGAACGAATCACCTCATCTGGAACAGGTGGATTATAACTTTAACAAGTACGTAGACTATTCGACGAAATGGTCCGTCATAAGTTTTTTATTTTTTGTTTCTTCCAATCATAAATAGACCTGTTCTCTCCAGGTGTAATTGTTCAATTTCGACAACTGTGAGCAACCACCAGCCGCATATTTTGCACATTCAAACCATCCTAAGCATGTTATAAATCCACAGGATGGTACCGGGACGAGGAGAGCTATTTATTTTAAGAACAATTTCGATTAGGGGCAATTAATTTGACATTCAAAAAAGCATTCAATTAGCAACAATTAGTTGGTAATTTCATGACCTTCTCTTGGTGTTCACTTTGATGTTCACATCTGTCGTCGTTCATCTCCTGAACTTTGTTCTCTAGATGCTTTTCTCTCCGTATTTTACATGATCTTTTCCATCTGAGGATTATATTACTTGAGCGAGGTTTACCGAAACGACCTCCGACATGGTGCTTTTGCTTTACATTAGATACTTTCAGCAGTGCATCCGGCTCCCGTTTCATTTGTAATCCTAGATTACCGATCGTTTTATCCTGTGATTTGACGGAAGTTTGTTTGATTTTCGTGTTAGCAACAAAGTTAGTCTGGTCCTACCATCGAAACTTACACTTGGTCTGTGTTCCTTGTATGATTTGGGGTAGGATGGACGGGGGGAGGAGGAGACGGAATACCCCTCAGGTCAATTTTAGACGTGTGTAATTCCCCATGTCTTGCAATAGCCAAATGGCTTGTGACAATTTTGGATCCAGTGGGAGCCACTCTTGCAACCCACACTTTATCGGATTTTTTCGCTACGTTAGATGTAATCAGAAACGCAAATGTGGATGGTCAACGAATGATATCTATGGACGTTAGCTCACTTTTCACTAGTGTTTCCATCACATAGACCATTACATATTTATGTGACCAAATCCATGAAAAGAGTATCAAAATTGCAATGCCTCTGGATGACTTGAAACAACTATTGCACTTCTGCACACAGAACGTTCAGCTTACGTTCAATGAAGAAATCTATCGCCAAAAGGATGGAGTCTTAATTGGATCCCTGCTCAATCCTCTATTATTTTGAAGTCCACGATTAAGCAATGTAAGCTGTAGAGACGATATGTCGATGACATTATGTTTTGTGGACAGTGATATCAAGGTGTCAAGCTTGCTCAAGATATTTAATTCCGCTCATCCCAATATCAAGTTCACATTAGAAGAAGAGGTAATGACGGGATTGATTTTCTCAACATCTGGCGAAAGCGTCGCACAGATGGTTCTATTTAGAGATCGATTCATAGAAAACCGACTTGAAGAGCCAGTATTTCCGTTTCAGAAGCTTTGTGCCACTCAAACGAAAAAGAAATCTTATTCAGTGATCGGCAAACAAGGCGATGAAAATATGCACCGATGACACCACAAATACGGAACTATCATTCATTCGTGATGTTTTCCTACAAAATGACTATACAGAACGTTTTTTTGAATAAAGTTTTGCAAAATAACCGTCCGACGGAAAGACTTTTAAGCGCAGAGAAGAAGCCAGTATACATGTATTTCCCATTCAAAGGGGACACAATCGCGGAGTTGGTTAGCCGCAAATTACAAACTATTTTGGACAATACTTTTCACGAGGCAAAATTCCGTGTCATATTCACGTCCAGACGGATCTTGTGTTCGCACCTCGAAGACAGGATTCCTGCTTCTGTAGTCTCATTTTGCGTGTACTTGTTTACGTGTTGTTGTGGAGCAACGCATATCGATCGCACTAGCAGCCGCGTATCTACACGAGTTCAGGAACATCATCCTGGCTGAACACTGGTGTGAGTAAAACTATTATAAGTGCCAGAGTTTCACACCTCGTCAAGTCCGAATACACAGTGAGTGTGACTGAAGCATTTCGGCGTCTCTACTGTGTTTGGGGTCGCGGATCAAAAGGGATTAAAACCCGCATCCTAGCCACCACAGAGGCGGTTGGAATTCGTCTATATTCTTCCCCCTTGTGCACACAAAAACAATTTGTGAATTCACTCAACNCCTCTCCCCCCCGCCGATCTCACCTCAAACAACACAAGTAATACGGACCAAGAATAAGTTCCGTTGGTAGGTTAAGCCATATCCGTTTTTTAATTAAGGCAGTAAACAACAACGAGAACCCCCATTGGAATATTCATTAATTTTGTTTCATTTTTTCCTCACAAAATGATGTAATATAAAACGTAACTTTTTATCCGGGTTGATGAGTCAGCAAAAAACGCTTGTTCGCTAAAATGCTTTTTTCATTCAGTGTGTCGCTGGTATATTCCAGAAATTCATCTAATCCGCTGCTCCGTCGATCAATGGCTCTTTTTTTCAACACTCGTCAGCACTACTGTATCGCAGGCTTCTGATGACTCAGATGACTGGGGTTTCGCAAATATTACTGCTGCATGTTTAAAAACAACGTGGGAAGTTCTGATCCCCAACATTAACATAAGTCTGAACTGAACAAAGATCAACCGCTGCGGAAGGAGCTGTGTCCAGGGACAATGATATTCGCGAAATCAGGGTTTCTCCTACGGATCACTTGTGTTGTTTTAGGTCAATATTCCTGTCAGCACTGACTCTTCACGCTCCAAATTCCTCTTCTTGACTGCTCCCTGGTATTATTCTGCTTGGATTGCCACCACCTCCACCGTTATTTTCTTGGGCTTCGCCGTAACTTCTGTAGGCTGGTATCTAGGGAATATGGTTGACTGGATAGGCGAGACTTTATTCCAGGTCAACTCCCTCAATACATCCGCCAGTCTGAAAAAATTCATGGTCTTCCCGGCATTCATTATCCGTGCTGTCTCCCGAATGTCTTCCAGCAAGCTCTTCGTGAAATGATCGAATAATTTCCAAACTGCAGCATCGTCTATCGTTGGAGCGCTCGATCCAACAGGCGCGCCGGATCATGACATGCTATAGGGGTCCACGTCAACTCGTGGTTGCGTTGTCCTGAAAAAACGAAACGCCTCCTGATGGTCGGCCGAGATGTCGAGGTTCGAGACTAGGGTATCCTTCGCAGCGACCGAATCAATCTTCTCCGGAATTCTTCGAGCAACCTTCAAAATCGTAAGTGCACGGTTCTTGGGAAGCGCTCGGAAGGCTGTCAACTTACCCCGGTCCGTCCGTATCCCCACCAAATCGGTGAATTTCTCGAACTCCTCCAGGAGAGTCTTCACCTTACAATCCTCAAAAGCTGCAGGTCGTGGAAACTTGATCCTACTGGCAGCACCAATTGTTATAAATCCACAAGACAGTGCCGGAACGAGGAGAGTTATTTGTTCACATAACAGCATCGGATGGAGCAAATAAGGTGACATCGAACAAAACATGTAATTAACAACAATTGATTAGTATTTTCGTGACCTTCTCTTAAACCGTGATCGCCGACCTCAATTTCTCTTTGTTTCTTGCGTATTTGCAAGAATAAATCCTTTAATTTGTATCGCTGATGCCATGGAAATCCAACAACTGCTTCCTTGAAGGTGCAAACTACTCACAACTGTGAGTGTACCTCACAAAACAGATATTTTTGTGTAGTATGCGCGTAAAAGGAAGTGATTGACAGTTTCTCATGAGACGTGTGTACATATAGCAGGTGGCATGCATATGGATCGGCAATAGCATACTCTAAACAAACAGTTAAGAACGTTTGCTTATCAGTGGCACTTGACCGCACCTCTCGTTATCACTCACACACATGAAAGAACGACGTGATTATCATACACGAAAAGTCATGATAGTAAACAGTATAAGGCAATGTCAAGGTATAATGCGTGTTACGGGAGGGGAGATACAAAGTTCACGTTGGTTATGGATTTTCTCGCGTCTCCTCCGACTCCCTTGCTTGTTCCTCTTCTGCGTTTGCAGTGTTCAGCCAATTTAATTCTGGAAGGTAGGGAAGAATAAGAACCGTTAGAAATATTGACAAAAAGCCTAACTAGCACCAATTC